GCACTTTCTTTTCCTCTCTCTCTCTCTCTCTCTCTCTCTCCTGACAGCCTGTCAGTATCTCATGCAGCTCACTGATCCAGTAATGAGTGACCCGGCAGTGAAGAATAAATATATGTATAACTAGTTTAGCTTGTTCCAGAGGTAGATCAAATAGCTAAGTGTGTTAGGTCTAACTCTTAGTGTGTGTTGCTCCGCTCAGCGGGCGGAGCTGCAGGATTTCTGCTTCACACGCGTTGCTTACCGCTATTTTATTGTCATTTTCGGACACCTTAAAATACTGCCAGACTGGTGAAGCCATTTTGGAGAGCTTGTTTTGCCGCGCACAGAGAAAAGTGTCATGTATTTTACGTCATGCGATCGGCTCTCGCAATTGGCATTTTTAGAGAGCACCGATCGATCGGCAGAGAGTGAGTATCGGAGCATCCCTAGTTATAAGACCATAAAAACGTATGGAATTTGAATGTTATTAAACCAAACAAAGGACAATACGTTTCAAGGCTTTTACTGTCATGTGTTCATAGCTACAGTGTAGTTATGACAATGCACATCTTAGGTCACAGGCTCCTCCAACAGAGCAACACAATACAACAGATAATAGTGCAAGTAAATAAAATAAAATAGAATATAATAGAAATTGTGCAGAATAGTCTACAAGGAAATGGAATATTTATATATATATAAGTTACAACCAGATGAATGTTATGGATGTTCTTTCAAAAGTTCAGGTGTTTAACATTCTTATGGCCTGTGGGATGAGACATTTTTGGATTCAGAAAACTGACTAACAAGCACTCATCCCAACCCGTCTACATTTCTCAAACTGCTGTCCTAACCCTGGCTGTGGCTCTTCCTCCCGCAGCAGAACAAGATGAGCTTCCCTGCGGCCGCCCAGCCCTACGGCCAGTGGGGCCAGTGGTACGGCAACGGGCCCCAGATCAGCCAGTACGTGCCCAACGGGTGGCAGGTCCCCGCCTACGGCGTCTACGGCCAGGCCTGGAACCAGCAGGGCTTCAAGTAAGTACAGGGCCTCATCTACTCCAACAACACCAGATCATACAACCCCCCCGGCATTGGCCACAGGAGGGAGCCAGAACTCCCTCCCATAACCAAACACACTCTCCCCCCCCTCAAACCCCTCCTTACTGGGAAGATTGATTGACACATATATATACACACACACACACACACACACACACACACACACACACACACACACACACACACACACACACAGAACAATCTGAACTTTACTTTTGTTGTCATCATGTTTCACAGCACATTCTAACTGCTGATGGTTCCTGTTCCAAACATTTGTTGTCACTTAGCGTTAACTGTTCCAAAATATGATTGTAAAGACAACTGCCTTAAACTATCTAAAAGCTTCTTGAATTTCAATACATATAAAGAGTTAAAGTGACTGAACAATGTAAATGCTTAAAGCCCAGAACAATGTTTTTTTCACTTCCTGTCCAGGCCTGGGGACGGGTGTGACGAAGATTAATTTCCCCTTTTGTACGATTGCCTACTGTGTGTAAGGACTGTGTTCTTTAAGGCTGTTCAGTTTTTTTTTTTTTTGTATGTCTACATCCATGTCATAGCTTTTTACATTCTTCTTTTCTTTTTGATTTCATTGATTTATTTCGACGTATATATCTGAGGATTTGATCTGTAAATGAATGTCGGTAGGACATGCTAAATATCTTTTGTAGCCTGTTATCAAATTTTGTTTTTATTTAGACAGCCTATGTGCAGTGACGTTTTGTGCACCTAAGAAAAATAAAGGAGAGGCCATATGTTGTTGACAGTCTAAAATTCTTTGTGACCAGCTGTATGAATAGGCTCTGTACAAAGGTGTGATTGTGGAATGCACAGTAAATGCAAAATAACCAGAGCAAGGCGCTACGCCTCTCTTGACTTGAAATTTGAACGTTATCCTGTATAAGCTGTCGTATCTCCACACTGAACGTATTCAACTTAGTTGTATTCAATCGTAAAAGGCTCAGAATGCCTGTGGGTGAATGTCCTTCGTTGGTCAAATGATGGTTACAGCTGTTTGGTGGGGGGGGGGCTGATCGGGAAAGCTCTGTCCAAGAAATGC